CTTGAATTTGCACATGAGTAGTTGGTGGTCTGTTCCACAATCAGCTCCTGGCCTAGTTTTCACAGCTGATATTGAGCTTCTCCAGCGGTTCTTTCCACATATGTAATCGATCAGCAAACCATAAAAACAAGCAATTGACAAGATAACAGCAGAGCATGGCTGAGCCTACTGACTTCTGCTGTTGAGGATGGCTCAGAGTCTGGTCATGCCTGCTGTCTGCTATGCATCTGAGAGCTTGACAGTAAATAAGAATGATAGGAAGAGAATAAATTCATCTGAGTTCTAGTATTAGAGAAGATTACTGAATGTCCCATGGACTGCCAAAAGAACAAAGAAGTATGTCTTAGAAAAAGTGCAGTCAGAGTGCTGCTTGGAGGCAAGGCTTCATCTTACATACTATGGGCATGGTATTAGGAGAGGCTGTTCTTAGAGAGGACATCATGCTCTTGGAAAGGTGGAAGGATGCCAAAAGTGAAGAAGACCCTTCAGCCAGTTGATCTGATAACAGTGAATGCAGCAGTGTGCTCAAGTGTGTCAGCGACCATGAGGAGAACAGGATAGGACAGGGTTTAGATCTGTAATTTGCAGTGTTGTTGTTATGTGCCATCAAGTTGTTGGCAACTCATAGCAACCCTTTGTACAACAGCCCTAAACCCTGCCCTATCCTGTGCCAACCATTTTTGTCTCTAGCACACTACCACCATTACCCTAGTCACTGAATCACTCCATCTCATTGAGGGTCTTCCTCTCTTGCACTGTCCCTCTAACCTCCCAAGCATGACGTCCCTCTCCAAGGATGGTCCCTCCTTGCAGTGTGTCCAAAGTATGTCAGACAAAGCTTCAGAATCCTTGCCTCCAAGGAACAGCCTGGTTTCACCCTCTCTAGAATGAACTTGTTTGTTCTCTTAGCTGTTCAATACTCTTCTTCAGCACCACAGTTCAAAGGCATCAATTCCTATTCATTGTCCAGCTTTCTGATGCATAGCAAGTAATTGCAAAGACCATGGCCTGAATCAGGCGCCCCTTAGTCTCCAGACTGACATCTTGTTCTTCAATACTTTGGAGAGGTCTCTGACCTCTTTCCCAATGCAGTGCACACTTTCCCAATGCAATTCGTCTTTTAATTTCCTGGCTGCTGGTATCAGGAGTGTTGATTGTGGAGCCAAGCAAACTAAAGCTGTTAACAATCTGTCTTTTCACCATTTCTCATGATGCTGCCAATTGGCCCAGTGGGTAAGAATCTTTGTTTTCTTTATGTTGAGCTTCAATCCATATTTAAAGCTGCAGTCTTTGACCTTTGCATCTCTTTGACCTTCAGGTCCTCTTCAGTTTCAGCAGAGTTGTGTTATCTGTGCAGGAAGGGAAGACCTTTAATGAGATGGATTGACTCAGTGACTGGGGTAATGGGACTAGGTATGTCAGAGACAGTAATGTTGGCTCAGGATAGAGCAAGATTCAGAGGTGTTGTAGATAGGATCTCTGTGAGTCGCAAACAACTCAATGGCACACAACAGCAGCAAAAGCAGACATGTCCGACACAGAAGAATTTTGTAAAACAACATATGATTGAATGTGAGTGGTGATAAAGAAGGAAATTCAAGTGACTCTGAAAGAACTGACAAAAAACAAGACCCCAGGAATTGATAGAATATCAGTAAACATTTCAGCAAACAGATGCTGCCCTAGACATACACACCAGGTTGTGCCAGGAAAATTATTGAACAGTATCACTAAGACCACATAGAAGCAAAATTCTCCTGATGATTGTCAAAAAAGGACTGGAACAGTACATTGACAGAGAACACAAGAAATTCAAGCTGTGTTTGGAAGAGGCCCTGGTACTAGGGTATTATGGCCAGTGTTAGATGGATCTTGGCAGAAAGCAGAGATAGTACCAAAGGAATGTCTACCTGTATTTCATTGACTATGCAAAGGCATTTGACTGTGTAGATCATAACAAATTGTAGCTAATCTTGAAAAGAATGGGAATTAAAGAACACTTAATTGTACTCATGCAAACCTGGTACTTGGACTAGGAAGTAGTAGTCAGAATAGAGCAAAGAACATTGCGTGGTTCCAAATCGAGAAAGGAGTGTGTCAGGGATGTGTCTTGTCTCCGTGCCTTTTCAGTCGTTAGGCAAAACTTCATTCGGGAGGCTTGACTTAATGAGAAGGAGTGTGATATCAGGATTGGAGGAAGATTCATGAACAACCTACATTATGCTCATGACACAGTGTTGCTTGCTGAAACTGAGGAGGTCCTGAGACATTTATTGAAGAAAGTCAAGGACCGCAGTCTTCAGTATGGATTGAAGCTCAGCATCAAGAAAACAAAGATTCTCACCACTGGGCCAATTGATAACACCATGATAGATGGAGAAGACATTGAGATTGTTCACAATTTCAGCTTGCTTGGGTCCACAGTCAACACTCTTGACACCAGCAGTCAGGAAATCAAAAAGACACATTGCATTAGCAAAATATGCGTTTTGAGACTTCTCCAGAGTGCTGAAGAGCAGTGATGCCAGTCTAGAGACTAAGGTGCACCTGATCCAGGCCACGTGCATCAGAATTATTTCTTGTACATCAGATAGCTGGGCTATGACTAAGGATGATGAAAGAATTGATGCCTTTGAGTCGTGGTGCTGGAGAAGAGTATTGAACATATCATAGACTGTCAGGAGGACAAACAGGCTTGTCCTGAAGTGGGTGAAACCAAGTTTCTCCTTGGTGGCAAGAATTTTAAGTTCTCTCTGACACACTTTGGGTGTATTGTCAGGAGGGACCAGTCCTTGGAGAGGGATGGAATGTTTGGAAGGGTGAAAGGACAGTGCAGGAGAGGAAGACCCCAGATAACATGGATTGACACAGTAACTGGGATAATGGGGTCAGGTGTGTCAGAAACAGACTGGCTTAGGATAGAGCAGCATTCAGAACTGCTGTGCATAGGGTTGCTGAGTTGCAGGTGACTTGACCTCATGTAAGAACAACAACAGACATTTCTTAGTAATTAACTCCACTTTTGTTTAGTTTTAAGGGGACTTCAGAGGATATTTTTTATGATTATTTCAGAGCAGTAATTTAAAGGGTTCTTCTAACCTTAGTGCTTCAGAAAATCTAAAGTCCATGAGAATTTTAAATTGTCTTCTATGTTTTGCTTCCTTTGATCCAAATTCTTAAAAATAATAATAATAATAATAATTTTGAATCAGAATGCTCAGTAATAGTAGCTGGGTGCTAGAATAGAACCAGTTCTGGAAATTTAGATGGCTACTTTAACACTCTGGAAGAAGGAGCGGCATCCATTTCCAAAATGGCTTGCCTCCAGAAACTCTATGTAAGAACAGTGCTCAGGCCATTCGTTTATAGGGTCGCTATGAATCATCTATGACTCGACGGCATCAAACAACAACAACAAATTTAACACTAGAGGCTTTAAACATATTTCTGAAGATTACTAGTTGTGTAGCATCTTGGCCTGCTAGCTGAAAGATAACGAGTTCAAGTCCACTAGTGACACCATGGAAGAAAACTAGACAGCCCATAAGTAGTTACAGCTTCAAAGCTTAATTGTTGAACAATAACAGACTTATTGTGTGTGGGGAATGATCTAACGGCAGTTGGTTTAAACAGTTATTAGGCCAGTGACTGTAGCAGTGATGACAGTCTAGAGATTAAGGCATGCCTGATCCAGGCCTTGGTCTTTGCAGTTATTTGCTATGCATCAGAGAGCTGAGCAAGAATTGTTTTGTACATAGGGTTGTTAGTACAACAGATCAGTGAACTAGGATGTCCAATAAAACCATAACTCCAACCAAGAAACAAAATCTCATAAAGTATTAATTGTACATAGTCAGTGCCAACAGCTACTCTTTTATTTATCACTGTTGTAAGTTTATCGCCAAAAAAAAAATGAAATTAGCCAGTCTCATGTTTGTTGACAAAGTTTCTCCCTTTGGTTTGCTATTACTTTATATGACATAAGATGAACATGCCTACAAGTAAGTCTTTGTGTATTTTATTTAAGACAAGTCTAGAAGTGGGATTATGGAGCTGAAAGATAGATATATATTCAGTGTTTCTATTCATATTTATTTCCTATTTGCTGTATGAGTTGGAGAGTATTCTCTGCAGAGTTTTTCCCCTGGTCTCCTTTCCTCCTCCAACTGTGCTGTAACACACATACACAGACGTTCTGTCTCTCAGTGTGATAAGCAGTCAGATCTGTGCTGTAACACACATACACAGACGTTCTGTCTCTCAGTGTGATAAGCAGTCAGATCTCAGAAGAGGAGGGATGTGGCCCTACTGTTATAACCAAGGTCTGGTTTAGGTGTGGAACACCGCTCTGCCTCTGTGCGTACTTGGGCTTTCTCTGAACCTGGAATGAGTGTGTTAAATGCCTCTTTGAACTAAAGCCATTGGGCTTTTTTATTTCAGGTTACACTCCTGGCACACCTTACAAAGTGTCCTGTTCACCCACCAGTGGGACGGTACCACCATACTCTTCCTCCCCCAACCCTTACCAGACTGCCATGTACCCTGTGCGAAGTGCCTACCCCCAGCAAAACCCGTACACACAGGTAGGCTTGGGAAAGCTCTTCGGGCCTCTCTTGGGCAGTCTGTGTGTCCACAGGTCTATTCCATCTGGGCTCTGACTTAAAGTGAGTAGAACCCTCTTTTCCCACAGCAAGGCACGTACTACACACAGCCCCTGTATGCAGCACCCCCTCATGTCATCCACCACACTACCGTGGTGCAGCCCAACGGCATGCCAGCAACAGTGTACCCTGCACCTATTCCCCCTCCCAGGGGCAACGGTGTGACCATGGGGATGGTGGCTGGGACCACGATGGCCATGTCAGCAGGTGAGTCCTTGTCCATCCTTGACTGTGCTGAAGAGGCATGTGAGAGGTTGGGGAGCAGCACAGGCTAAGCTCATTGACTTTTGGCTCAAGTTATTCATGACTGTGGTTTTACAAAAGAGAGCATATCACATTCATTTGCAAAGAAATAGAAAATGGTCATTTTGCTCCCTTTTAATTCCCTTAGTCTGCAGGACAGGACTAACACTCTCCGGGCTGATGATCCCACTCTGTTGGTAAGATGCAAAGCTTCCCTTCTTTGAAGGGAAGAAATGACCCATGACCCCTAACTCATAAAGTTTGAGCAGAAGGGGACACTGAACTGGTTGGAATTGCCCTTTTGAATTTTAACCTTAATGTGATCTATCTTTGTAGTTGGGTTGATGGGAACATTTTTAAGAATCTCTTGAGAACTGAGTTTATGTTAATAGAAATAACTGGCTTTTAGGAATCTTTGACATTGTGGACTTTGCTTCTTGAGACTTCCCATAAGTTAGGAAAAAGCTGTGGTGAGAGGAGACTTTTGACTGGAGTGGTCTTGACTCCGCAGAACCATGCAGCCCCCAGAGCTTGGTCTGGCTTACTGGTAAATCAGTCAGATTAAAGTTCAGTGTGACTTCCTGTGGCAGTAGCAGGGAGTTCATGTCCATGTAAGTTTTATTTGCTCGCCAATGGCTGGGGTATTTTTTTAAATTGTTCTTTGTTTTATTAGACTTTATTTCATTGTAAAAAAATACCACAGAGGGAATCTTTCTAGAATAGCATTTTTGTTCCTAAATCTTATTTTTGTTTTGTTTTCTCATACTTCACTTTCAAGGCAGAGTGGACTGTGATACAGACAGAAACTGTCTGAAACATGTGGAGTGTGGAGACAGCAGGTCCTGGGGTGGGTACATAGGTTCATTGGTATGTGAGAACTGGCAAATAGATTATCAGTCTTTGAAGCAGTAATGGCCATACATTAACTTACATATCTCTTAGCAGCTAAGGCAGTTGGGATCCTCCTTCATTTCCTGTTTTGTAGCTTGTCATTGGCTCTTCAAAAATCATATGCTTATATTGAAAGGACATACAAAGACTTTTACAAACATGTTACCTATATCAGCTTGCTCTATTACTTCATCTTTCCAGGTCCTAGTACTTACACAGTTGAGAGTTTAGAGAGAGTTCTTGTCAAATCCATCCCCTCCATGACGATGAGTCCAGGCCAGCAAAGCTCTTGGTCCAGGCAGGGCATAGTGGTGGTGAAGTTGGTTCTGCCTACTTCAGAAGAATGCTGCTGCCAAACCAGTGAAATGTGCTGATTTTTCTTCTAGGCACCCTGCTGACCGCTCACTCCCCAACTCCCGTCGCCCCCCATCCAGTCACTGTGCCCACATACAGGGCTCCAGGAACACCCACCTACAGCTACGTGCCCCCTCAGTGGTGATTACCTTGCAAACGTAAGTGACTAAGGTCTACATCAAAACTTTACTAAAAAAGGGAGTGTTTTTTCAAGTTAGAATACCAAGCAAACTACTTATTTAATGTAATTATTGTTCTAAAGACGTGCAGTTTTAAAATTTTTGTTGAAGAAGAAATAAGTCTTTGGGCTAAAAGAAGAAAGAAATCATTATGTACTTCCTGCATTCATCATCCACTTTGTTCCTTAACACATTGTCGCACACTTTTAAATTGACAACTGTGCTAAGAAACACATTTGCAGCAACATGTTAACTGAGGTTCCTCTGATTACACACACCCATCTCCTTGGCCTTCTGCCCCTTGTCATAAAAACCAGCCTCTGAGTTGTCTAAGTGGCTAGGGACCTGTGAAGTTACAGGAGCCAACTTGTGCAATGATTCTGTGGTGGGAGAATTCTGCCCTTTGGGATCCTTCCTCTTTAAAATTAAGACTTCCTCTTCTGAGCAGAGGTGCCAGAGAGCTCCCTTTGACTGTGTTTCTTTCTCTCCTCTAGGTTTGAGGATGGAGCTGTGTAGTCACATCCTTGAAGTTTCACAGCTGGTGCTGCAGGCCTTGTGCCTCCAACCAGGACTCTCTCCTTAGTGCTCTCAACACTTAGCTAAACACTACCACATTTTGGCCCAGCCAGTCCCAGCGCTATAATCTTCAGTAACACCACTGGGTTGGTTTTAGAGCAAATCCGGTTTGGTAGACTGAGTGGCAATTTTTTTAGCTAACTCTAATGATAGAAAGGGAGTGTTAATCTATCCTGAACCATATCTAGTTGAGTGCATGTTTTAAAACAAAACAAAAAACAACACAGAAACAAAGCTTGCTCAATCTACCTGCAGTGACTGATGCAAAACCATAATATGCAAAATCCAAAGGAATTGAAAAGTATTTTACAGCTTTTATCACTGATGCACTCTAGTAATGTATGTAAAGACTTCAAGTTACAAATGTAAAAGTGAATTTCTCCATAGAGCATCTAAAATACCCTCAGTGATTTTTTGGGGGGCGGGGGTGGGGATTGATGTGGATTGCCTCTAACTTGGCATTTGTTTGGGTTTTTTGGTTGTGGGTTTTTTTTTCACACTGACTGCACTATGGGGAGTAAGTTATATGGAGGGGAGATTTGGGGAGGTTACAGCTGCCTAGAGTATAGCACTCCAGGTTCCTAGTTTACCAATTTTCTAGTTTTCCAGGTTCCTTCTACTTACAGGCTTGATGGCATCAGTATGACATGGACTTTCATGACATCATCACCAAATAGGCTCATATGGCTGGTACATTAGTAAGGGCTGACTTAGGTATCAGCAGAGTAACTTTCTCTGTTACCTACATTTCCATTATAGATCTCTTAAAAAACTAGACATGGTGTTTTATCTGTACTGGAAGTAGCCTCTATAGCTTTGAATTCTTTTCTGTCAGGGAAGGTGCATAATAGAACAGTCACTTGGAGAAGGCATTGGGCTCTCCTTTATTTAGCTTAGAAAAATTACTCCTTTCCTTCTTTTTCATAGGCATTGTACCATCATCCATACTCCCCTCTCCTCCCTCTCTCTCGCTCTCGCTCTCGCGCTCGCGCGCTCTCTCTCTCTCTGTCACACACACACAGAGGAAGAGCAAAGATTACGTGTTACAAAGAAAGTTGTATATTTGAGAATTATTAAAAGGGAACAAGACTTTATTTAAAACTCCTCATGTTACTCGTAGTATGCATACATTGTGTGATGGCTGTGAATGTGTCTAAAAATATAGAAACCTAGTTTCCCCTGAGCTCATCCTTATTGGTAACATGACTTCTGCAGCTAAGTGGAAAGGAATGTATGGGTTAAAGGGTAACCCTGTGGCTTGTGAGTGACTGCTACTATGTCTTCTGACTGAAGGCAGTTAGCAAGAAACAAGATTGGGTTACAGATAGGGCCAGTCAGCATTGGTTTGCATTTATACAGGCTCCATTTATTAGGAAAGACTTATTTTAAGATCAGGCTATTGCATATAAGCAATTGGAATTCCCCCCCCTTCTTTTTAACTATGCCTAATTTTAATATTACAGGAGTGCTTTTCTGTGTTCTCAGTTGTAGTCAGAGGTTGGTGGTGAAAACTGTGTTCCCATGTAGTGATCCTTGGGGCAGTGAGCTGGCATCTTTTTTTACACCTGTGGTGGTTCTGAGTGCTGCATGTTCAGGAAGTGGTTCTGCTCTTGAGTCTGTTATCGAGGTCAGTGTTTCAGGTGCTGGGAGAGAGGGCACCACACTGGAAACCATCACTGGTGGGGTGCAGGACACCTACCTACTGAAACATTGGGAACATTTTTGTAATAGTAAGTAGTCTTTTTTTTTATTTTTCCCTTCCACGTTTTTTAAGAACTTTAGGAGTATTTTTGCCTGGATCATTGTAAACAAAATTCCTTATTCCTAATGTCTGTTGACACAAATGTTTACTGATAAGTACTTTAAATTGCTTGATGAGCACTTAACTCATGTGAGCATCATATGTGCTTGTGTGTGCATGCGTGTATGTATGAGAGAGACATTTGCCCCAAATTCATTTATTCAAGTCTGCCTTGATAATTCCATTTGTATAGTTCATGAGTTTGTAGTAAATGTCTTAAAGAGTTCCAGGGACTGACCTACCTGACTGGTGGGGAGGTCAGTTTTTCCACTTTAAGGGTAATAGATTATGAGAGCATAGCTAATGATTTTAGTATATGTGTAATTCAAAGTCTTAAACAGTCAAAATTGAAAACCACAGAAGAACTTGACTTGTAAAATGAGGAGTTGTTTGCTTTCAGGTGATTAGAAGTCAGCACACACAGGCTGATTGTTTTCATGAGTGCTGAATTAAATCATGTTTTCAAGAGGATAAGTGGATTGCATATTTTTTATTTACATCAATATTATAAACTTCCCTCTTTATAAATTTTTAATTTTTTTTCCCTTCTGTGAAGTTGACTTAAGGCTGTTTATCAAGTGTCTGCATTATGAAATATATCCATGAAGAAATAACCTTTTAAATTTTGAAACTATCATAACATCAGCTACAATTAAAGTCTTATGATAAAAAAGTAGAGCTTGTCTACTAGTTAAGGATCTAGACTTAGGAATAGTAACAAAACTCGTAAATGAGTTCTCATTTCAGTAACATTTAGCTCCAGTACAATTAATTAAGAAATAAAATACTTTGGTCAGACTTCTGTTATAATTACATAATTTGGGATCCTAAGCACAGTAGTGGAACATTTGAAGAAATCAGGACCTTTTTGTATATGACATTCCTTATTTGAGAGTCCTTTAGCTTAATTGTGGCTCTTTTAGAAGTTAAAGCAGAAAAGCAAAGAACAGAGGGCTGGACTTCAGTCATATTCACACGGTCATTTGAATTCTACTACTGCTTCTAGCCTAAGTTCTGTGAGGTCTTTATACATCAGTTGAACTGCTCTTTCACTGTGCTAACAGAAGTCTTGCTAGGGTCTGGACTGGGTTGCTGTATGCTTTGCAGGTGACCTTGTTGCCTCAGAGAAAGCAAGCCAGCGTTGGCCAGGGCCATTCCTGGAGCAGGTGGGCTCATTATCAGGGTGGCACTTCTGGAACCTTGGTCTCTCGGGTTGATGGGTCATTTGGCCTACCAGTTGCTTTTCTTTAACATTGTTTATCGAGTGCTATGCAAATGTAATGCTTAAGGGAGGTTAGAGACCCTCCTCTCTGAGCTGACCACTGGTCAACTTCCTGTCTTCCCCAGCCTGAGCTCACAGGGCTTGCTCCATCTTCTGTGATCAGTGAGGTCTAGAAAGTGACTTCATGTGTCTTTTGGGACACTTCAATAGTGAGAGAATGTGTGTTATTAAAGATCATTTGAAGTATCATAATAACTGGTAGTATGCAAGCAGTGCGATTTACAGCCTTGGAAACCTGTTGGAGGGCCAGCTAGGGGTCAGCTGTGACTCCCACAGTAAGGAGTTGCCTTTTTTTTTTAATTGCCCACATGCAGTTTCTTTGTGGGTACTGTGGGGAATGTGGCGTATACCAGCTGTGTAAATACTGAGGTCTGCTATAAACAGGAATACAAACTTCTTTACCTAGCCATTTTAAACAGTATTCCTCTGCATAAGCCATCTTCTCCTTAGCTGGCACCTCATAGCTGGGCATCTTTATCATTGCCAGCGTAGGTGTGACCTTGTCTGACTTTCTGAGCAAATGGACAGATTCCAGGGAGCACAGTGTCATCAGTTCCTTGGGGCTGAGATGAGAGCAGCTTCTGGGGCTAGAAGCAGGGGAGCAGTGGTCATCTTTGAAGAGGAATGGAGTGGGGCTTAAGCAAGGGCCAGAGGGCTGTTCAGCTCAAGAGCAGCTTCTGGGGCTAGAAGTTTGGGAAGCAGTGGTGGTGAAGAGGAGTGAAGTGGAGCTTAGGCAAGGGGACAGAGTGCTGTCCATCTTGTCACATTGTTTTTTTGTGGAGGGTTTTGTGGGTGTTTTTTTCTGAACTATGTGTATTCACCCTGAGCTTCCCGGAGGCACAGTGGACCCCTCGGTCTACTGCAGAGAAGCTCATGGTCTTTTCAGATGGAAAATTGTGAGTTGAGTTTAATCTTAAATGGAAAGGTTTGTTTGATTCTTTCACCTCCACTTCACTTGAAAAACAGAAAACTTGTGGAGGTAACTTTGGTTTTGATCCATAGAACTAAAGGTTAATCAAGATTCTCTGTCTACTTGGGGTCAGGGAGATAGGGAAAAGAAGAAACACTGCTAGACACACATGTCTAAGTAGTCCAAGATGAGTTTCAAAAGAGCATGCTTCTGGCTGCCTGCCCCCACAACACTGGGCCTGGAGGTTCCTAACACTAGTCGAGGCCTCATGAAGCTGACATGGAAGTCTCTTGGTGGTGGCAACCCATGACCAGCCATGGCCCTTTCTGGAGTCTTCCTGTAAGTGACAATTTGTAGAAGAGTCGTTCTCTGCTCACAATAGGGTTAGTGTAGCCACTGCATGGAGGAGAAGGCCACAAGGAGCCTTGTGGGTTTTGATTAAATAGTAAATGTTTGGTTGATTTTGTTTTTGTTTTTCCTTCATAACGTAAATCCTATTTCCTAGACCAGGCTATTGGTACTTTTTAATGCTAAAGTTAACTTTGTCTTCCAACATTAAAGGCATCTCCTCTGCTTTGAAGTATCTGTGTCAGTACAAAGGAATGGATAAATCCATCCTGAGCCAGTTCAATTATGTGTAAAATCTTACTATTTTAATTTTTTTATGCAATCTGATGAGTAGATAAGCTCAGATTTAAAATTCTTAAAGCACGTTTATTGTAACAAGAATTGTTATGTAGTTTTCAATAAAGATTGACTTATGTTGCATAGTCTGTTATTATTTATTTTTCCTATAAGGAGTAACCAGGCTCCTCCTTGGAGGCAAAGATTCTGGGGCTTCGTCTGACATACTTTGGACATGTTGCAAGGAGAGACAGATCTCTGGAGAGGGACATCACGCTGGGTAGAGTAGAGGGACAGCGCCGGAGGGGAAGACCCTCTATGAGGTGGATTGATTCTCAGTGACTGGGGTAATCGGGATGGGTGTGTCAGAGGTAATGCAATTGGCACAGGATAGAGCAGGGTTTAGGGCTGTTGTACATAGGGTCGCTATGAGTTGCCAACGACTCAACGGCACATAACAACAACAACAACAATAAGGATTTAATGTAGAGGGAATGGACTTGCTGGGGATTGTGTCAGAGCTTCTGGTCTTCTAGGTAGATGATCTGAGGTTTCTGAAGAAAGACTTTTTGGTCCTCTGCCCCTCCATGTCCTTGGCAGTGTATCAGGATGTGGTAGAGACCTCAGCTTGTAGAGCATTGTTTCCCAGGGCAAACAAAGAAGGGGGCAGCCCCCTGCTCCTCCTTTCCTAGGTCTTGTGGTCCAGCTTCCAGAAGCTCACCTTCTTCCCCATTTCACAGATATGAATGCTGAGTCCCCCAGGTACTAAGTATCACCTATCCCCAGAACTGTTTCTCACCTTCAGCAGATTATAGTCTCTGGGGAAACAGCTCTCCCAGTCTTTTTGGCTTCTCTCTGAAAGGAGTTTGAGCCTGCACTGTTCCCTTCTCCACAGGCACGTCACTACCACAGTCCTCACTCTCTCAGTGTTCCAACTTGGAGTCTGCCCTGTATCATAAAAGGCTTGATTGTGGTCTGATGAAAAGAGGTTGTGCTGCCAACCCAAAGGCAGGTGGTTCAAATCCATCAGTTACTCTGCAGGAGAAAGATGAGCAGTCTTCTCTCATGTAGTTTACAGCCTCTGAAAACCCACTGAAGGGTCATAGAACTGACCAGTTTGACTCAGTGGCACAACACGTCATCATCTCCAGCCAAGTGGACATTCTTCCCTCCCTGGAGTCTATGGCTTATTCCTTCTGTTTGCAGAAATTAGTTGAATAGAGATGAGAGAATGGAAGCAGAAAAGATAGGTAGAGTTAGTTGAGGAAGAATATACACTAGCAGATGAATCCCACTTCACAAGATTTTTTATGAATATAAAATTCTGGCTTAGGGAATATTTTATACAGGCTTCACAATGTGTGCTGCTAAATCCCTTGGGCATCAGTGGGCCCTCTGCACTTCTTAATCCTTGGCAGGGCTCCTTCAGGTCACACTTGCACTTGATATGGCAGGTCCCAGATGCTAGATTGCAGGATTTGGCCCTTACAGCTTCTCATCCTTAGGTTCATAAGGCAAGCTTTCTCTGTTAGACAATGATGAATTGTTTTTCTCCTTTGTTTGAAAAGCAAAACAAAACAAACAAGAAAAAACAGGAACCAAGTTCTGGAGTCAGCCATGGTTGGACTGGTTACAAACTCTAGAAACTAACTGGTTACTAACAGAAATACCGTTAACTGTAGTTTTGTTTTCTTCCCAATATTAATAAACATCACAGATGAAAAAGGTATCCAACAGCCACAAGTATTTTGTGGTGTAGAGAGTGGTTTCAGAGAAGCAGGTGGGCTCTAGACTCAGAATTCCCATTTCCTATCCTCTGGGGCAGCGGCACTTGACATTTCTGGCTGGAGCTGGATCCTGTGAGGACAGTGGGGTGAAGGAGCTAACCGCTGGCCTGACTCAGGAGGGTTATGAGGATCTATGGGGGTATTATGGGGCTCTCGGGTCCAAAGCAGTGAGGCTGCAATCCTGAGCCTGACCTAGGACATCAACAGACAGGAAGGGCTACCTCTGTGAGTCCCCCACTGAAGTGGCAATACTGAGCATCCTTCCAGTTATGGGAGATCTGGAAGCAGAGGGGCACAGGTCAAGAGCTGAGGTGCCCCTGTGCCTCCTGACCTGTAGGGACAAATCCAAGGTGCTGTTGCTTGGTGGGTGGTGTGGAGCTCATGTCTGGAAGGGGGACAACCGGCTGACATCACAGGTGACTACCCCCAGGGCTCTGCCAGCACCAAGACCTGCTGCTGGAGTAGACCAGTGAGCAGGGCAGGGTTCTAGTATGGCAGGTGGTGGGGCCTTGGGGCGGCTGGGGAGGGGAAAAGATGGGGCATCATGGTGGCAGCCTGGACTGTTGAGATGGGGTAGCCAGGCTCCATCCTGAGTCTGCCTCAGATGTCCACAGTTGAGTTTTGTTACAGGAAGACTTGCTTCCAGAGACTCAGGGCTAACTATTTTGGGATCATCTAGACCACCAACTTGCTGCTGGCATAGGCATTGTTTTCTGAGGGGTCTCGACCATTTAAGAGGAAGTGGGCCATTCTGGTACCTCCCAGGGAGCAATGTGCGTATCAGTGGTGCCAAAACACTTGTTTTGATCACTAGCAGCCCCTTGCCAACTTTGGTACACACACCTAGTCATGCAGCTTACTTTTAGTCTTGTAGGTGGCTTGCTGCCTGCTGGCGTTCAGGATGGCCTGCTTCCTGTGTAGTTCAGTGATAGAGAAGCCTGGGGTGATGTGGAGACAGGAGCACTTGGTGGATCTCCCTACTGAGAATAAGCTGCTCTTCCCTGTTCCACTTTCATCTTTCCTTGAACTCCTTACTCTCACCTGGGCAGGACCAGCCTCTGGTACTTGCCATGCCCAGAAAAGGAAGTTTCTGAGAGCTCATTTGTCTAGGTGTCCTTTGCCACGTGTTCTGACATATCTCTGTTGCCAGAGCCCTTTCCACTATTCCCACTGTGAGTCCTACAGTCAGTCCTCTAGCTTCTCTTGTACCTTCTCAGAGCCCCAAGGCTCACAGCAGGATGTTGTGTATAAGCTCTTTCATCGTCCCACCCTGGGGCCGGTTGCAAGCAGAGGAGAAGCCAGAGGGACCTGACAGAATGAAGACCTCTGGGTCTTCGCCTGCCCCTCAGTTCTCACCAGACACCTTATGAACCCTCAGACCTCTTATATGAGTTCAGCCCTTTTCACTGTGTGGTGCCTCCAAGACCCAGAGCAGGCCTGACATTGCAATGCAGGCTCAGCATCCACAGGCAGGTTGGCGGGTGTGGCAAGACATTTCCTGGTGAACAGGCACTGCTTGTGGAAGATACTGCCTACCCTCCACACCAGTGATCTCCCAGAGGAGATCCTGCATCCCCTGCAACCTGGGCACCAAGCAGAGGCCCAGATTCTGTGGCCACAATCCCCTACCCTAGAGGGAATGGAAGCAGAAAAGATAGGTAGAGTTAGTTGAGCCTACACCTAGGCTGAGAGCATGGCCCAACCGAGCAGGAGGATGACAGTGCCAGGGTACAGTCCTGGGGCTCACGGGCTCCAACGTGCTCCTTGGCTGCATTGTGTTCAGGTGAGGAGGGCAAGTCTGATCAGGGACACACGCCTGGCTCCCTGTCAAGCTGCACATGATCCTTCTCGATGATCAGAGTGGCAAGCCAGCACCACTTATGCTCGGGCCTCTTGGCACACAGCATGCGACTGCCCAGTGATAGGCAGCACAGCCTGACTGTTCTTGACCCATGAGTGGAATAATCTGTCTTTCCCATCCAGGACCACCAGACAGTCTGCGTCCACTTGGCCCTTGTAGTACAGAAGGACGTTATGGTGGAATAGGTTGTGCCAGAAATAATGTCAAGTGGCCGTCAACCTGCTGGTTGGGATTCTCCTGGCCTTTGCGAGGCCATCTGGGGCTCCTAGCAAGTTCCAAACATTTTAGCTCCTGCCCTGGGGAATTTCCTTCAGGAAATTATTTCTGATGTTTTTGCCTTGTGAGTCAGTCGTCAGTCCCTATCTTCAAGGAGGGATGAAGGGCAGGAGCTAGGAGAGGCAAAAGCTGGTCTCTGCTGCATAGGGTGTGCTGGGGGACATTGGGGTGGCCAGGCCATTCTGTGAAGCCAAGAGCTGGCAGGTGAGGTGGTGACTCGCCAGGCCTTGCTAGAAGCCTGCCCGAAGTTTCACTGGTTGGAGAAAGAGGCAAGAAGTGACCAGGCTCAGAAGGTCCAGCTGGGTGTTTTCAACATCACAAGTCAAGCTACCTGTAATACAGCCTAGGCCCAAGCCTGACCTGCAATTCCTTCCAGCCCTTCACACTGCGCATGGGAAAGGCCCTGTGGGGGCCTGAGCTGACTTTCTCTGGGAAGCTGCTCCCAGCCCTGGCTTCCCTCGCTTTTCTTGTTTTGTGTGAAGTCACCCTGTGTCCAGGACTCAACAACACTATTAGCTTCTTAACAGAAGATGAGCTGGTGGTCAAGGAGGAAAAACATTCTTTGCTGGCCTTTTGCCTGAGGCTCTGTAATGAGTATCAGATCTTCTGAGTAGATGTGTTACAAGCTACTGACCAAGAAGTCTTTCCCCTGTATTAGCCCAAGTGTAGGATCAGCCCACCTAACCATGACCCTCAGACAAAGCATGCATTGATAGTCCTGCCTCTGTACTGGGCTTGGAGGATGTGGTCTGTCTAGAAGCACAGGCCATGGTGAGAGGAGAGCTGGGCCTGCAGAAACCACTTTCCGTCTGGGCAACTATTCTGGGTGTAGCAGAGCTCAGGGTGGCAGAATAAAGGTGGGCCTTGTTTGCCGTTACTGAACAAAACAGCCTGGAGTCTCATGTGACTGTTAAGCCCTTGGGATGAGGCCATTTGACATGTGATACAGGTGCAAATACATATCAATTTTTAAGAAGTAACATGAAATAGTGTATAAAAACTTTCATTAAATACATATTAATGATGTGGGGAGGAGAATGTTCTGGCTATAGGGTTGTTGTTATGTGTCGTCGAGTCGCTTGGGACTCATAGCAACCCTATGTACAACAGCCCTAAACTCTGCTCTGTCCTGTGCCAGTCACACTATCTCTGACACTCCCATCCC